GAAAGAGATAGTGGGAGCGGAACGCCGGATGGTAGTACACCTACGAGGAGACGGAGACCGGCTACAAGATCCCAGAGCGCCCGTGTTTCCGGCGGAAATAAAAGCATCCGACGCCGAGCCGCTGCCCAAGGTAATGATAATAACGGTAGGAATGGGGAATGAATAAGTAATTTATTCGTTGCGCAGGTGGGCTTTTACAATCTGATTGAGACTTGTATTTAATTTCCAGAAGGATTCAAAGACTCGAGAATTTAAACGATTATCGCTTAAAATGAATAAATTCGCTAATTTCTGTAATCAAGTTTAAAAAAATTTTAAGATTTATCGATTCTGTTCTCCAAAGTCTCTCACTTTGTATATATTTTAATTCGAGGACAAGTAATTATTCATATGCACGAAAATTTAAATTGTCAAACCGGTTTGCCGGTCGCTTCAGTTCTTTCTCAATGACGAAGATACGAATATTGTTAGTTGAGATGAGATCTCGAGGTACGTAAAAGTCAATTTTGTGCGACAAGATTGCGTAGTGCGGTGACCGGACGATTCGATAATGTCCGATAAATTCGTAGAAACGTCATAGATGACGTACGATCCATCCTGATGAAAGAGCAAAGTGTATCGATATTGCACCGGCAAACTTGTTCTAAAGTCTGGCAAAAGTTCTTGAAATCGTTGGCGGCCGCTATTCTCGGACGTGGATTTAGCTAGTAGGTCACTGACAGCCCAAACACGTCTCACCGGTATCGCGTATCTTTGCAAGTCTAAAAAGTCAGTTTCATCGCTAAATACGTTAGCGATTTCGCTGTTTTGTATGCACGTTGAAACACGGAAATGTGTATTAATAAGAAATAGGAATTATAGTGATAATTCGTGTTGTTTGTACGGAGATGTAATGCAAGCAAGACTATTAAATCTTAATTAAGGGAGAAAGAGCTAAAATTTCAGTGTAATGCGTCAAGAGAGCGGTAGAAATGAGCAAACATTACTTGTTTAATAAGTCATTGTTGTTTAAATTTTTATTCAAATAATTAGCATTTTATTTGATATTACAACAAAAAATTATCTGTATACTTGAAAATATATATTTTGCATGAAATTATTTAAAATTATCCAAAATATTAAAATTACTAGAAATAGTCAATTTACATCGTGCATTGCATAAATTATTAACATAAATTATTGTTTATTTACAATAAATAAGATACTATAAAATTAGTTGTGTTAACTTAAGTAACTTTAGGTATTGGATTAAATAGCTTTAATTCATTGTTTTAATATTACAGACGCGGAAGAATCAGCTTCTGTTTCAAAGCTTCTTTCTTTGAAAGCTTTAATTGCAATAGCATTGGAACGTGAGAGATACTATTTTCTTGAAATTGATGAAATGGGAAAATTTGTCTGCTCAATAAACTCAGCGATTAAGTGAAGCAAATATTCGTAAACGATTCTAAGTTCACTTCTCTTTTCCTTTCCGCGTCGTTTAATTCCATTTCCTGGCTTTCCAGGTTGTATTAAATCACTTGACTTTCCACGCGTCGACTTTGCGATGTAATAGGTGTAATGCCTTTGAAAAATGTTCTGTTCTTTGCTTTACTCTCAAGCGCTCTGCTGATGAAAATGCTGCGATCGAAAAAGAAGTTTTTTGTTCTGTCCTGTTTACATTGCCAATGGTTTCCTTTAAAAATAATTTTATCACTCATTGAAATACATTTATATTTTTCCTGTTCTAAAATCTATTATTGTAATATTACATTGTAAAATATTGAAAATATATTTTTGGAAAAATTAAATTTTTTTATAGACAAAAACCAGTGTTTTCGATATGAGTACAGGCATTTCATGTTTTTATATAAAATGCATGCACAAATATAATTCAGAAACAGAGAAATAGCTTTAAAATGGTAGGTAAAAATCATAAAAATTTTTTTAATGCTTTTTATATGCTCTATTAAGCAATACTATATTAAGCAATACAGTAAATTTTTATTTTTCTCTGTAAACGTTCTTTACAAGTAATTATATATTTTAATATCTGTTATATTATAATAACAATTATTTTACATATTTTAACCAAAATCATGATATTTTACAATAATATTATACAATGATATTGACATTATACAAAAATATTCATGCACATACATATGTATGCAATATGTGTTAGGATGAGAGTGATACATAGGTATTGGAATCCGCGCGCTAACAATATTATATATTTTTGACGAAGTCTGTTTATTTATATTCGATATTAAATGATGCTTAATATCTATAATCCTGTCGCTTTCAGCGGCCGCTCATCATCATCATCATCATCATGAGGGAGCCAGTATGAAGTCAGCTCACTGCAGTAGCGAACCCAAACTGACCGAGAATGACGTCAGTCCGGGGATCAGGAGACGAGGGAGCCGAAGGGGGCAAAGCATGCACTATTCGCATCAGAGGAAGAGCAACGCCTTCCTGGATGTGCCTGACGTCTCGTCTCAGATACCACCACGGGAGGAAGGCGAGGATGAGGATAGTTACAGACTTCGTAGCTTCAGTCTCACCAGCAAAGGTCAGAAATAGCTCTCTTCACCTGTTGTAAATGTAAACTATCGTAAAAAAACGATTTCGTTTCTTACGCAAAATTGCGGGAAAAGCTTTGGTGTTGACCACAATTTGCGGTGTATGTGATAGATAGGAAATGCAAATACACTAGATAAATATGAAGTGAGAGAGAGAGAATAGACAAGTCTGTTACAGACTTTTGAAAGATAAAGTGACTTTTGACCTCAGGTGGAACAAAATAATTAAAATAATCGTAATAATAATAGGTCATAAATTTCTAACAATATAATCAAAATTTAGAAGTCTTAAGTATTTAATAGAATAAATATTTCATAAAATTGTAATACAATAATTATTAATTTCTGTTAAAAGTAACTTGGTATATTATTTCAATTATTAATGATCCTGCGTCCTACGCGATTCTACAAGAATTCAAAAGTGTCTTGAATTTATAGGATAAACGTTGAATCCAGATAATTAAATTTTTAGATTTCCCGAGAGATGTTTTAAGTACCTGTCGAGAGGCATGCTTCAGAATTTTTAATTTTTGAATAGATAGATTTGACGATCTATGAAATCTTTTACAAGTTATAACATTTGAGAAATATATTTTAGATTGCAATATTTAATATTTGAAATGCTTTTAGCGGTTCTTCTTTTATATATTAAATTTTGTATGTCTTTAAATATTTTCTAAATTCTTTATTATTCGTTGGTTTTCTGAACATTTTATAGATCATCGTTCGTTTAATTTACAGCAAAACGATTTGAAACTTTTTCAGAGTGTGTACACTTCGCTCTTTTGCGGCGCAAATTATATTGGCAGCTTCTAGTATTGTACATTCTCAATTTTTTCATGAAAGTATCGGTAATGTGGGTAAAGCAATTGTTGAATTTTTCGATAGTTTCATAACGACGCATTGTTTCGGACAAATCGAGATTATCGATTAAACTATTTTATAATATTAAATTAACTTAATAAAATACCGTTTACAATAGATTAATGGTTATATGTTTCTACTTACAATTACAATTGTTTAATGGAAGTTTATTCATGCATCGATAAATTTATTATATTACTTTATAATCAAAAGAACCAATATTATTTGAACACGTAATTAAATTCATAGCGAGTAATTTCATTCAAATTACTAGGTACTGTGTCTCAGAGATTAAGTATTCTTTCAAACTTTAAATTTCAAAACTTTTTTATAGTCATAAGTTATAAGAGATTGAAATATTTTGTGTCCCGTAATTGTTAATAAATTTCTAATTTAACTAAACTTCTTTAAGCTCAACGTCTTTAAAAAAAAAAGTAGAATGCTTCGAATATTTATTTGAAATAAATAAAAGAAAATAATTTTATTGATCATACTAAAATTATACATCGAGGAACAACATCAATTTTTTATTTAATCTATTATTTTCTTACGTTCAGATAAAATTCTGTGAAGTTTTAAATACACAATAGTATCGTGAAGTTTGTATTTCAACAATATAACAAGAACAAAAATAGATTTAATCGAAATATTTCGAACTGTGTTTCTTTGCGTTTCTGCTTCACGTGTGTGTATGTGTGTACTTCGCGAGAAGCCTTGCCAGAAATACACGAGTGTGAGAGAGATTCAGTAGGGGAGAAGATCAGTGGAATCGAGATAAGCAAAAATAGAGCGGCTATAGTTATGACGTCGACATGGCTCTACCACGAGGGTTTAACTCGAGAGTTCGATGAGCCAGTATGAGAATGCAAAAGGGAAAGTTATTTACACTCATCCATCTAGAGTCGTGTTTTATAATAACGCTTACTTACGCGAATAGAGAATATAGCACAGAGAGTAGCACTTTCTGTAACTTTAATGGTGAGATTGATATCCGGAAGGTCTCGATATGTGCAAAAATTGATTGCCGATCGGCACTATCGAATTTCCTTGGTAATTCTATGGTGTTATCATGACGTCGTCGAGTTAGTTTAGTCTCTAGAGATGATATCAATTAAGCCTCAGTTAATCATGGATGATTACGACATTAAGAAAATATCATTACATTGATGGGAGCTAGTGCAGTAAAACAGCAATGTGAAATAATTTTTCTATTACGATCTTGTTGATATTTGTTGTACCGACATAATGCCGTTAACAAATATGCAGCGTGAAGTTGATACTAGAAACACATTGTCGTCTATATATGTATTATCTATTTTTAATATACATTTTATGCATAGACATATTTGATCTATATATACAATACATTTACTATACATTTATATACGTCTATAAGTATATCTATATATATATAGATATATTTTATATAATTTTATATATAGATATATTACTTGATATCTATTATTTATACATTTACTTGATATTTGTTATTATAATTTATTCTGTATAAAATTGATATATTTTAGTAATTACAACTTTTAAATTAAATAATTAAAATTCTAGAAAGTTTTACTTTCTAAGCAATCATACACAAGCTTATAATAAGTTTAAAAATATACTGAAAAACACTTTTCCTTTCGTTTCGAGATTTTAATTAAAACTTGTAACTTGATATATACATATATCAAAATCTTTATTAAAATCTTAAACCAAAAGTAACTACATTCATTACATATACATTAAGAACTAAATGTTAAAATGTTGTAATTTCTTATTAATCTATTTTTATATAAAAACTGATTCCAATTCTGTTAAGAATTTATCATCGAAATGTACTACTATTAAGGTTTATAGCACCATGGGTGTATAAACATTTTCATTCTATACATTCTTGATATTTTACCCGATCGCTTTCGCATCGTATTTGTGCAATTCTATCCGAATTGCTCTTTTTTCCCTTCTTTCCTTCTTCTCTTTCTTTCTATTTCTCTGCGTTTCTCGTCCTCGGAGCGAAATTGAAATGCAGTGCAGTAACAAAGTTAGAGTCTGAATTTACGTTAAAGTGACATGAAGTACTTCGTTTTTCTCCCAGACCAAATCGTTTGCTTGTTAATCATTTCAGGAAAGTTACTGTTTAAGAGCGGAACATGCCTTCCGGCAAAGCTGATAGTTTAGGTCAGTGAATATGTATATCAGCGACAAGATCGTCCTAACTCACAGAAATAAACCGTCCTCGAAATTCATGCTACATCAAGTTGTATTACTATTTATCTTGATACAAACAGTTTGATAGCAAAACTATAACCTGATACAAGCAGTTTGCATTAGCAACTTTCCATTTATTGCGTAATTAAAAGCAAAGTTTTGTTATATTACATCACATGCAAAATTCCATTCGTATATAATTTTATTCTTTGCAATTATAAATTAAAATGCAATATAATATTACAGTTAATATTAATTACAGTTAATATTAAAATGCAATATATATTACAGTTAATATTAATATTCTTTTAATACTGCGACGTTTTACGTGTATATGTTATGAGCACAAAAGTGTGAGTCAAGTGCAGTTGATTCGTTTGGTTGACATTGTTAATCGAGCTTTCTAATTGAGTTTTCAACTTGGCAAAGTAGATTCTATTTTATCAGAAACTAAGCATCTTGGTGAGAGAGAATATAAGTGGAATGGAGGCATTATTTCTGTTCAAGCAACTTTCCGAATAATAGAATCCATTTATTATTCTCCACATCTTTCATATGCGTTTGTCCTTGTCTAATCAAAACTGTTGCGTTTTCTGTGGTTTAAGCTGGTTCATCATAAATCGAATTCGACCACCTGTTACATTCGTAAACGCCGATTTCTTGAAATAATAAGATATTCTTGAACTAGAAAGGAAATTCTAAAATTTTTGACATTATTTGTGACAAAAGCGATTAAATTCATTGTTTTAAAAGAAAATAATAACTTAAATATTTTTTTGGATTTTCAAAAATTATTAAAAAATTGATAATCGGTTTTGACATTTTTAAAAAATTATTATTTGACTAAAAATTATAAACTCAATATGCTAAAGTTGTATATTTACAAAAAATTCTATTATATGTTTTGAGCCAATCAAAGATTTTTATTGTATTATTTTGTATATTAAAATAAGCTTTTTAATTAATTTATTATTAAAATAATTAAGGTAATAGAAATTGTTGTAAGGGCATTTGTTTGGATAAATGGTTGCACAAGAAAAGAGAAGCAAAAGTACATGATAAAGGAACGCATATATGATTATAAAAATTAGAAAATAAAGTATTATGAGAATAAAGTTATCATGGGTACCGAAATGGTACGCTTGCTAGAATTAGGAACATAAAAGAAAATGGAGAAAAGGAGCTTTAAGAAAATAAGCAAAATGTTTCATTAGAGCATATACGCAATCTGGCAAGCACTTCTTTGACCTGTTACATTCTCGCCAGAGCTGTCACTTCCATTTTCGTGAGAGCTTCCCTGAACTGTTTCTTAGAAAGTATTATTTAAGATCTTATTGTTGTTTTGGAAGAGCAGCTTCTTTGATGATAGTAAGATAATTCGCGATAATTCGGTAAGTAAAAACTTCCTACAAAAGCAAAATATTCTCTGTTAGCAGTTTAACTGTAGGAAAACTTTTAGAAAGATATGAAAGAGAAAATTTCCTTGGAAGCGCTCCAAAAGTGATTTTTATTACACGATATGTATTTGATACAGTGTGCATATCTATATGGAAAATATATCCTTGGTCTCTTCAATAGGTCATCAAAGAATTCGACGTGTTCGATTAATGGATTAGTAATTTTGTATGTACTTTGGATTTGCAGATCTTCTTTATCCGTAAAAGTACAAATGCACGAAATTGAAGGCAGGTGACGGATTTATGGCTATCTCTATTCTAGATATCTATAGATATCTAGAAAGGATACGGATTCATCTGGCCATGTAATTCCGCGCACCTGTTGCCTTGAGCCTCCGTAGAGCATTAACCAATTTCTGAATTTCAACATTGATCGATTTAACGCTTCATTACACAATGCGCTGAGAGAAATGATCTTATTATAGGAACAAAAAAAGGGATGACAGATGTAATGGTTTGGTAGG